GCTGGGCAGACCGGGGTGGGAGGCTGGGGGCTGCGTGGGGGAGGGGGCAGCACTTCGGGTGTGGAGTCCAGGGGGTCCCCATGTGGTGAGAGAGCAGGAGAGGCCGGGGCCAGATAACGGAGCTGGACTGGGCCAGGAGAGGAAGGGGGTCCTGGAAGGGATAGGAGGGGGGCAGAGGACCAGTATGGGCTGGGAGAAGGGGGGTCAGGGTCAGGTGGGAGCAGGAGGAGGGGGGCGGGTCCCAGGCCGGGCGGGGGCAGGAGGGGCGGGGCGGGTCCCAGGCCCAACCCGCAGCCCCCCCCGGCTCACCACATGTCGATCTGCGTGGAGTACTCGGTGGAGCCCAGCAGGATGTCGGGGGGCCGGTACCAGAGCGTCACCACCTCGTTGGAGTACGTCTTAGTGGGGATGGACTTGGCCCGCGCTAGACCTGGCAGAGAGAGGGGGATGGCACTGGGGGGTTCCGGGGCTCACAGCTTAAACTCACTGCACTCATTGACGAGCAGGTTCCGGGGGGCGGGTTGGGGGGCTCTGGGAGGTTCTGGGGGGCTCAAAGTCAGCCAGCTTGAGCCGCTCGTTGACGAGTGGGTTCTGGGGGGCAGGGGTGGGGGTTGATTCAGGAGGCTCTGTGGGGCCCTGGGGGGTTCCGGGGCTCACCGAAGTCAGCCAGTTTCAGCTCGCCCCACCCGTTGCTGAGCAGGTTCTGGGGGCGGGGTGGGGTTTGGGGGTTCAGGAGGCTGGTGGGGATTGGGGGGCCCTGGGGGGGTTCCGGGGCTCACCGAAGTCGGCCAGTTTCAGCTCGCCCCGCTCGTTGATGAGCAGGTTCTGGGGTTTGAGGTCGCGGTGCAGCACCTTCTGGCGGTGGCAGTACGCCAGGCCCCGCAGCAGCTGGAACAGGAAGAGCTGGGGGGGGGACGGAGAAACGCCGTCAGCCTGGCACAGGGGGGCCCCCGGGAGCTCCCCCAGCCCCGCCGCGCTCACCTTGACATTGTGCATGTTGATGAGGTTGCCGCAGTCGTCCAGGTACTGCTTCAAGTCCTTGTCCTGCGGGGGCAGGGCAGGGTTAGCGCCGCCCGGACGCCGGGGTCCCCGCGAGCCGCCCCCGGCCCCCCACTCACCAGGTACTCGAAGACCAGGGTCAGCGACTTCTCCGTGTGGATGATGTCGTGCAGGGTGACGATGTTGGCATGTTTCAGGTCCTTCAGCAGGGACACTGGGGGGGAAGAGGCGAGTGAATTCCGGCCCCCCACCCCCCCGCCCCCCCCCCCCCCCCCCCAGCCTCCCCCCCCGGGCACCTCCAGCCTGCCCCCCGGCCCGCCCCCCGGCAGGTACCTTCGCGGATGGCTGTGCAGGGCGCCCCCTCCTCGTGCTCCAGGCGAATTTCCTTCAGCGCCACCAGGTTGTCTGTCAGTTTGCTCTTGCCCTTGTAGACGGTGGCGTACGTCCCCTGTGGGGCAGCGATGGGGGGGGGGGACCTGGAGGTCACAGCTGGGGGCCCCTCCTGCCCCATCCCCCAACCAGCCACTCGCCCCCCTTCCCTGGCCCATGACCCCCACCCCAGGGTGCCCCCAGATCTCTGCCCCATCACGCACAGTCCCCTCCCCCATCCCACGCCCTCTCCCCAGCCCCATGGCCCCTCTCCTGGCCCCTCCCTCTAATCTCATCCCCTGGCTCGGATCTGGGGGAGGACATTAGGACACACCCCCCCCGCCCGCTCCCCGGGGCCCAGCTCCCACCTCTCCCAGCTTGTCCAGCTTCACGTAGGTCTCCAGCTTCCCGAAGCCGATCTCAGACTGCGGGCGAGAGACCAGCCGTGAGATCCCCATGGGGGGGGGGGGGGGGGCCCCCCCAGGGGGGGGGGGGGGGGGGGCCGTGGGGCAGGGGGCCGGATGGGGGGCAGCCAAGGGACACTGAGGGGCAGGCAGCCGGCCAGGGAACACTGGGGGGTGGGGGGCTGGAGGGGGCTGGGGGGCAGGGTGGAAGCACCATGGGGCTGGCCAGGACGCACATGGTGCTGGCCAGGGGTGCCATGGGGCTGGCCAGGGGACACGTGGGGTGCTGTGGGGCTGGCCAGGGGACACACGGGGTGGGCTGGGGGACAGCAGGGCGCCGTGGGGTGGATCGGGGCGGGGGACAGTGGGGCGCCGTAGGGCGGGGGACAGCGAGGCGCCGTGGGGCAGGGAACACGTGGGCCGGGGCAGAGGACAGCGGGGCACCGTAGGGCGGGCCGGGAGACAGCGGGGCGCCGTGGGGCTGGCCGGGGGCAGGGGACAGCGAGGCGCCATGGGGCTGGCCGGGGGACACGTGGGGCAGGCTCTCACCAGCGAGACGCGGCGCAGGCGCCGGCTGAGGGGCTGGTCGAACAAGGGGCTGTTCAGCGCCAGCTTCTCCAGGCAGCCCTCGGGCAGGCGGATGTCGGCCGGCAGCGAG